TTTCTCTCACGAGGTGTCGGCAACTATAAAAACGAGCCACGAGACTCGAAGAATCGTGCCTGAGTTACCGCCGATTACCTGCAGTTATTATATATAATATATTACTTGCAGTTATATCAGCCTTTTCATCGTTCCTAACATCAATTTATTTGATTCAATAGAGACAGGCATTAAACAGTCATCTTCGATAATTTTTCAAAACAACATAACCAACAAAATTTGATCAGTATTCTCTTTTCTACAAACTAGAATAAAAAAATTCACCTTTCAGAAAAAGATACTACTTACCTCGATCTTCTTTAAACGTCGTTTTTCACTCGATAATATCCCAGCTGGTTCAGAGACGAAGAAACGGTAAAATAATTTTGGTCACGGATCGCTGGTTCGCCAGACGACCGCGACGCGCGCGACCCGGGCCTCGTTTCTTTCTCGCGGCGGAGCTGTCATCGTGACCGCTCAATCCTCTCGATTAACCTTCGACAGAGCCCGTCGCGGACAATTTTCCCCGATATCCCGAGTTCATTTACGAGTGCCGTCCTCCGGTACGCGTATCACGAACACTCGGAACGGAGCATAATGCCCGCGAGGTTACACAGGGAACAGAGAAACTCGCGCACACGGTCGAACAATCAGAGAGACGGACAGACGGCGCCGAGCGAGCGAGCGAGCGAACGAACGAACGAACGAGCGCCACATGAATGGCGTGTTTTCCTTATTGGCTGATTGAATAATACATGTAACCGAATAGTATTAGACCGGTCGAGCGCGACACGCGATGCCCATGACGCCTGTCATGTCGTGCGGGTCACGTGTCACGATTTTGACGAGTTGTTTAGCCCGGCCGATTTATCGACCGAGATGTTGGGACTCCGCGCTCTCTCGCCTTGTGCACCTTCGGCTGGTTTCCACTTCCACCGTCGCGCCGGTCGAACGATTAATGACGCGGGCCACGGATAAGGGGGGACCAACCGGCCCCACCACGATTTATGGCGGATTTTCTTTGACGATAAATTATATTTCGCGAACTGGTCACGCCGTGCTCGCGGGTCCCAAGGCCGGCCGACCTTCTGCGCTCGATTCCTCTTCGCCTCGCGCCGGCGTCGCACACCGCGGCTCCGATTCATTTCTACGGCGATCGCTTCGACCTCCGATCCCTGTATACCGCAGGAAATAATTGCCGCGGCACACAATTTTTACGGTACAAACGTCCGTAATTGAAAGCAACGTGATCACTATTGTGCAACAAGTCGAGCGCGTATCAGGGCTTTAACCCTTTCGCGCCGCATATATGCGACACCCACTCGACGACCTGTGGGTACGCGCGCCGCATACAGGGTGTCCCAAAAATGTCTCGCAATCAGAAAGTGGCGGGTTCCTCAGGTCATTTGAAGCAACTTTTTCCTTTACAAAAATTTTCTCCGAGGCACCGTTAAGAGTGATCAATGAGAGGCGAGCTCAGCTGGCGCGAGGCGACCGGGCCAATGAGCGGAACTGGGCTTCGTGCGCTGGTTGGCTGGGCCGCCTCGCGTCAGCCGTGTACTTGATTCTTATTGGTCACTGTTTTTCGTTAATAACTCGTTAACGGTGCCTCGGAGAAAATTTTCGCAAAGGAAAAAGTTGCTTCAAATGACCTCAGGAACCTCCCATTTTCAGATTGCGAGACATTTTTGGGACACCCTGTATGCGGCATCGAAATGAGATGTATACAGAAGACGCAGATGTGTAATTTGTAGCAAAAATGATAAAAGAACGGATTCGCGGTACGAGTGCAAAGATTGCGATGTTGGCCTTTGTATAGATCCTTGCTTTCAAATATATCGCACAGAATTATATTATTAGTTTTTACATATTATTATATTTTAATAATTCTCGTCTCGTTATTAATTATGTTAATTAAATAAATTATTATTAATTAATTATTTATTATATAAATACCTATGTTACCGATAATTTTGTAAGTCTTTTTAAATAAAAAATGTAAATATACTTGTTACATTAGAGCAACGATTGTCTTATTCGGCACAGTTATTATTTAAGACTTGGAACAACATATATACAAAAACCACGCGCACTGTGCATATTTCCGGAGCGAGTTTCCGTTCGATGACGGTACTTCGGCGGATGGAGCTGCCGTAGCGAAAGGGTTAACTTAACTGCAATTTAACCGTAAACTTTGGTAAACGTAAGTTGGTTAACCCTTTAGAGTCTGATTTATTTTTCGTTAATTTGCGTTGCATCTGAAGCCAATCGTAGATGCTAAAGTACACGCAGATGCTAATAACAAGAAATGTTGATTTTATTATTGTCGGTTATCCCTTTAATTAGTCGGTTATCCCTTTTAGACGCTTAAGGCTGGGTCATATATGTCCCATTGGTTACATGTAAACAAAAATATCTGCGCGGTATGCATTCTAAGACCGATATATTCGTGTATCGTGGAAACATATCATTTCTCCCAATAGTCGCACGAAATACATAGATGGGGCGCATGTTTCCGATAGGCTCCAAAGGGTTAATGAACTTTCGAATTCCGAATTATGACTTTTTCTAACCGATGTTAACTTTCACACTTTTGTAAACGTAAGTTGGTTAACCCTTTGGAGTCTGATTTATTTTTCGTTAATTTGCGTTGCATCTGAAGCCAAGTTTCACGTACACGTAGATGCTAATAACAAGAAACGTTGATTTTATTAGTGGCTGTCCCTTTTAGACGCTAAGCGCTGGGACATCTGTGTCCCATTGGTTAAATGTAAACAAAAATATCTGCGCGGTATGCATTCTAAGACCGATATATTCGTGTATCGTGGAAAAACGGAATTCATTTCTCCCAATAGGCGCACGAAATACGTAGATGGGACGCGTGCGTCCCGTTGGGCTCCAAAGGGTTAATGAACTTTCGAATTCCGAATTACGACTTTTTCCAGCCGACGTTAACTTTCACACTTGAATTCTGTTAGAAAAGTACAATTTTAACAGTCAAGCTCGAATTCAACCGTAATGTAATTGGAGAGCAAACGGTTTTTCTCCCGGCCGCGATTTATCATTAGCGATTCGAGGAAAGAGGATCCGGCGAGAAACGGCAAGAAAGGACAAGAAAGGGTCGAACACGTACGGCAAAAAGCTCGTGGCCGCGGCCGCTAATAAAGTGGCGCTTAGCGGTTGAGCGCGTTTCCGGCCATCTTCGCCTCTCAGCGTTTCTGCCATTCGTTGTCCATTACATATTTAGCCGGCGCGCGTAATAAGCGATCGTCCCGGGGGACCGGGTAATCAGCGGGGAATCAATTTGTCGGCGGAAAGTCGGCGAGATTGACGAGGAAGATAATCGCGGATCGCGTCGGCGAGCGTTCGCACGTCGCGCCGATGATGATTCGATAATTCGAACCGGGAGACGTGTACCAAGCGCGTACACGTTATACCCGGCCGAAAAATAAGATGAAAACGATCCCCGGCCGAACGATCCTCGGCCGATCTTCTTCTTCCCCCTCTCCCTCTCTCTCTCTCTCTCTCTCTCTCTCTCTCTTTCTGCCTTCCTGGATGCTTTCCGTCCCTTTCCCTCGTCCCCCGTCGCCGCGCACTGCCCTAAGTTACGTGGGCGCTAAGCAGCGATATATCACCGGCCGGTATTCACCCAGGCAAATCGACTTTTATTGCTTTATAGCGCTTGTAAGCCGGCCGCGCAACCATTCCGGGCAGCGCGTGTAATCTGGATGTAAGAAGCTCGTTATTACAGACGGTCCATTCACGGGTCGACTTGCCTTTAACGATCAAACTACGCCGTAATGGCCGATCCAAGTCACTCGCCGGATTAGCGGTCTCCCCGACGACGTTATCGCGCCTTTCTTTCAGGCTTACTCTTTTTTTTTCTCTTGTTCTTCTCTGTCGAGAGGAGCGGTGAACCAGCTAGCGGCGCCATTAGTCATGCCGTTCGATGACGCTCGAAGGACGTTCGCGTGACGCGCGACTTGATCGCGGGGCTTTTCGATCCACGGTGGCATCAACCGGTCAAGTCCTATACGGTTTGTTGCTTCGTCCAACGACGGCTTATTTAGCACTGTTTCAACCCTTTCGGTACGAGTGCCGGATATATCCGGTATCCATCTGGTCACCTGTGTGGCCAAGCGCCGGATATATCCGGCATCCATCTGGTCACCTGTGTGGCCGAGCGCCGGATATAGAGGGTGTTCCAAAATTATGGTATTTCCGGGAAATGAGGGGTTCCCGAGATCATTTGAAGCAACTTTTTCCTTAGCGAAAATATTTTACAATGCTTCGTTCACGAGTTATTAACGAAAAACACTGACCAATGAGAGGCGAGCTCGGCTGGCGCTGGGCAACCGAGCCAACGAGCGGACGTAGCTCAGTTCCGCTCATTCACTCGGCCGCCTCGCGCCACCTGAGCTGGGATTCGACCGTTCGACCGCTGACGTCATTGGCTCGGCCGCCTCGCGCCAACTGAGCTGGGGTTCGACGGCTCGACCGCTGACGTCATTGGCTCGCTGGCGCGAGGCGGCCGAGCCAACGAGCAGTCGAAGCCCAGTTCCGCCGATTGGCTCGGCCGCCTAGCGCTGGGCTAGTCCGCCTCTCATTGGTCACCGTTTTTCGTTAATAACTCGTAAACGAAACGGCGGATTGCATTTTCGCCAAGGAAAAAATTGCTGCAAATGACCCCAGGAACCCCTCATTTCCCGGAAATACCATAATTTTGGGACACCCTGTATACCGGCATCCATCCGAAGACCAGTATAGACAAGTGCCGAATACATCTGGCATTCATGCGAGCCATATTTCTGACATATTAGAAATTATTCTAATAAAGTCTTTTCTTACAAGGATTCCGAAAAAAAACAGCTACAGGTATAATCGTCGTTTGATCTGAATTGATTTACAAAATTTGAGGTTACAGCTTTGTTCGAAACTTGTTCATAGATTTTAACATATTGTAGGCGCTTTACAGAATGTTTACAGGAAACGAAAGATTTAGAAACGGATTAAGCACAGTTATTGCTTAAGAAAATCTTCGTACAAAAGTGGACTGACCCACTGTGCTATGTGAGCATTTTCGGCGCGGCACCCTGTACAGTGGGTGTATCACGGCTGACAGCGCGGTCGTACCGAAAGGGTTAAGTCCGCGTGGTCGTCGTGCGTCTGCTGTGCCGCAGTAGCCCGAACCTTGAACGAATCTGACTCGATGGTCGATCCAGGACTTGTGCGTTTGCTGCGCTATAAAAAGCGGTTAAATAACGAATAAAGTGAAATATCGTTGCACGGAACGCAGGTCTGCCCGACTTAGAAAAGTGGTAAACGAACATTGTTTACTCGGAAATTTCACGCGACAACGCTTTACAAACATCGACCGGAGATCTTAAGTGTTCGTTTCCTTCTCCTCGACCGTCACTATCGATTTATCCGTTCGATTCGTCTCGATCGCTGCCGATTGATTCGCCACCGTCTCGGTTTCCGCGTGGTGCTTCTCGCCGTGGCAATTCTCTGCTTTCTCTTTACCAGCAGCCGAGAAAAGCATGTCTGGTTTCGAGCAGGTCTTGCCGCACTCCATCAGAGTGCTGTTGCATTTCCTCAGGTTGCATCTGAATCCAATGGCCCTCTTCGCGCTGATGCTCTTGCAGAGGTTCTTCAGAATCTTCACCGATTTTTTCGTTCTGATCTTTAAAGGAAATCGATCGTGAAATTTGCTGTGTATCATTTAAGAGAGAGCATCATAATTTTAATTTAATATATTTAAGTATCATAGCATCCGTTCTCTAATTGTTTATAAAAGTAACAATATAAGACATTTGTTCTGGTTTTTAATCTCCGAGCGTTATTGCAATATTTGAGACACGTATGTTGAATAAATAACTCGTAAATGTATCTTTACAATCTGAATACGTAAATTCTCCCTAATTCGCGCACAGATTGTGCAGAAAAATGGACAATTTGGGAAGAGGAGATGCGAGTAATCGAGCCTCGCGGCTCGTTTTTATAGTCGCCGATTGTCAACAACACTGGCAGATCAGCAAAATTATAGTATTATGTAATTAATTGAGAATATTAAAACTATTGAGAAATGTTAAGGAGTACTATAGAGTTTTATTGCCATAACTAGAAAAATAAAAAAGAATAAAAATTGTTTCAGTCAATTGTAAGTAACTATAAAAGGTAACTATAATCGGTAACTATACAAAACGACGCGCAAGGCTCGAATAATCGTATCTCCTCTTCCCGAANAATTGTTTATAAAAGTAACAATATAAGACATTTGTTCTGGTTTTTAATCTCCGAGCGTTATTGCAATATTTGAGACACGTATGTTGAATAAATAACTCGTAAATGTATCTTTACAATCTGAATACGTAAATTCTCCCTAATTCGCGCACAGATTGTGCAGAAAAATGGACAATTTGGGAAGAGGAGATGCGAGTAATCGAGCCTCGCGGCTCGTTTTTATAGTCGCCGATTGTCAACAACACTGGCAGATCAGCAAAATTATAGTATTATGTAATTAATTGAGAATATTAAAACTATTGAGAAATGTTAAGGAGTACTATAGAGTTTTATTGCCATAACTAGAAAAATAAAAAAGAATAAAAATTGTTTCAGTCAATTGTAAGTAACTATAAAAGGTAACTATAATCGGTAACTATACAAAACGACGCGCAAGGCTCGAATAATCGTATCTCCTCTTCCCGAATTGTCCATTTTTCTGCGCAATCTGAGCGCGAATTAGGGAGAATTTACCGTAATTGGAAATCAAAAAATTAGTAACCAGCCATTTGGACGAGTTCCGTAAACTTAGCGTTAATAGTTAAAATTCTCGATCGATAGAAATCGTTGGATGCTTACCTTCACTTGGTAAGAAATCTCCTCTATCCTTCTCTTGCTCCTCTTCATCCTGTACGCCAACCGATTCTGCTTCGCCGAGGTGCACACCGTGAAATTGTAACTAAAATACCCAGCCCTTTCATCGTTTCAGCTCAGAGACGTTTCATCGATACTTACATTTGAGAGTCGCTGTCGTCTTTGATCCCCTTGCAGAACTTGGAGCAGCCAGGCGGAGACTTCGATGCCGCCTCGCAATCCTTCGAATCCTTGAAACTCTGCTTCTTGCGACTATTCTCAGTTTTCCTGACGCAACCGCCTTCACCGGAAGTCGCACCGTTCGATCTCAAATCAGCCTGACCATTGAATTCGTCATCCTGCTTCGTCGCAGCCACTTCATCCCCTTTCTTCGCAGCCTGTTCAGCACCCTGCCGACTCTCTTCCACAGGTTCAACTTCAGTTTTCCGTTTGCTTGGTTCCTCGTGCATTCCTTGTTCAACAAAACACCACTCGTTTACAAATCGAATTATCTATTTATTCCAACGCCTCTGGCGTTTTCCATTTCACTCTTCCCTCGAACTTGCTTCTTCCAGCCAGGATCTGCTCGAGTGCTTCGAGACCGATCCACGGATGGAAATGTCCCCGGAAGATCAGTAATTGCCCCGACCGGAGGTCGAGCTCTGCGACGAACTCGAAGGGGTCAGAGGCGGCAATCGGAACAGCGCGCATTCGCGGAGTATGAGAAAGGTTTTCGTGCCGATCTTCGAGCCCTCGACGCCGAAGGAGGCCGCGCACCTCGCCACTATGATAATCCGATCCTTGTCATCACCCTGCGACGCCGAGAAAGAATATTTAATGTCTTCGGGGGATCGCGGGTGCGATGACGTCCCTTCGTCAGCCATCGCTGCCACCGTCGATCGTTTAATCGCGAATTATCGAGGCGTTCTTTGGCTTCTAACCTTGACGCTCCTCGCCGGCCGGACCCTTCGCCATAGTTTTCTCAAACCTCGACGGCATCTCGCGAGTTTCCGACGAAAATTATCCACTTATACGCTTTGATCGAACCAGTGTCATGGCGCAGGAGAAACCGAGCGCCGATCGGAACGACCGACTGAAAATTTCACCGATCCGAGCGGAGCGAACGTTGCCGGAGACGATCCCAGGCCCGACACCATCGAAACACGCGAACGTCAACTCTCTTTCTTTTTCACAAATTTTTATTCTAAATGCCGTACATCAACATCCGACTCCGTGAACTCCAGTTTCTGACCAGGGGGTTGCTGGTCCTTCTTCGAAGCCTTGCTCGGCCTCGAGGCGAAGGCTCGCACCATGAACGACCTCACGCCCTTCTTCGGGATGTTCGCTGCGTTCTGAACCCAGAATCATTTGTTAAACGCTGATTAATCTTCGTCGAATCGCTAATTTATAGAACAAGAAAGCTAACGAAGTTTTCAGGCCGTGGTAGAGTGGACAGAACATCTAACATGTCCATCGATGTGCTCGTGTCGACTGTAATGAGTTTCTTGGTCGGCGCATTTTCGCTGCTGAACGTTCGTCTCGGTCGCCTTCCTAGATCCGTGGAACTCTTCTCGACTTTCATCTCCGGTGGTATTTTCACTGGGAACATGTTAAATCGATTATCTTTAATCAGTTCTTTAATTCCTATCCGTTCTTCATTTACGCGGAATAATCTCTGCTTCGATTATCCACTTGACACAATGGTAAAAAATGAACAAGATGGAACGTTAAATAATTTCGTGAATCTCTTCTTTAACACGTTGATTGCCGTGTCGGTCACACATGGGTGACACTAATTTTTGATTGGTTCTCAGGATTTAATTAAAACTAATTTCGTGATACATTCGAACACACTGAAACACACTGTCATCGTCAATGATAAATTTTAACTTTCTAGTTTCAGTCTCGATCTTATAGGAATTTTGGGGTTCATTTGGAGCACGTAAAGTATTAACAATGAAAACCTAAGACGAGGCAAGACAAGTTTTAACGCAGACTCACCCGCGTTGTTCGAAACCAATAAAATGTTCTGTAGTACAGATCGATATAGTACAGGGTTATTTTATGTTATAATGTCATAATTATGTTAACACCCGGAAATGAGGGTACCTGAGGTTATTTGAAGAAACTTTTTCCTTTGCGAAAATGCAATTCGTGGCTTTGTTTACGCGTTATTAACGAAAAACACTGGCCAGTGAGAGATGAGCTCGCCCAGCGCTAGGCGGCCGAGCCAATCGGCGGAACTGGGATTCGACCGCTGGCGCCGTTGACTCGGCCGCCTCGCGCCAGCTAAGCTGCGGTTCGACCGCTCGACCGCTGACGTCATTGGCTCGGCCGCCTCGCGCCAACTGAGCTGGGGTTCGACGGCTCGACCGCTGACGTCATTGGCTCGCTGGCGCGAGGCGGCCGAGCCAGCGAGCAGTCAAAGCCCAGTTCCGCCGATTGGCTCGGCCGCCTAGCGCTCGACGAGACCGCCTCTCATTGGTCAGCGTTTTTCATTAATAACTCGTAAACAAAGCCGCGGATTGCATTTTCGCTAAGGAAAGAGTTACTTCAAATGACCTTAGGAATCATTCTTTTCTGGATGTTAACATAATTATAGGGCAACCTGTATATCATCGTGTCAAATGGACGCATGAGGATGCGAAACGGACGAGGGATAATGGCTGGCATTTTTACCAGTGGAACTGAGCCTTCGTACAAACGGTTCGAACAATCCCGCATTGCTGCGACGTTGCTCGAAATCAGTTTTCTCTGTTGCCACATCTTTCGTCGTTTGGTCATGCGAAGTGCAGGAGACTGGACAGTGTTTTTGGCAGGAATCGTTCGATCTGAAAATCGTGAATTTAGGAGAGTACGAAACGATGGCAGAGTTGACGCGAGCGGTTGAAGCTTCGATTAAACAGATTACACGATCGAATACCTACTGTAAGGATACGAATTGCAAGCTCTGCTTTGGCTTTTCGAACAACTTCATATATTTCGTCGACTCGTCGAAGTCGTCGTCGACATACATTCTCGGAGGAACCACTTTATGGTCGCTTGATCTCGGGGTGGAAGCTACAAAATGTTTACCCTGGAATCGAAATAAAAAACCGACGTTACCCATTTCCAAGTCCGAATTTTAATCATTCGCGGAATGATTAAAATGAATAAATTTCAGTCTATTAATAAACGATTAAGTTTTGAAGCAGAGTTTCCCTTATCTTCTTCATTAGTCGATATAATTGCTCGGCAACGCACCTCCTCCATCAATTTCAACGTAATCATCGTGCCATCAAGATGCCCGTGAAGATGCGGCGCCTTCTGCTCGCAGCAGCTGAAGTCCATCTTCTTGAATATCCTCCACCAACAGTTCTCATCGTCGAGGAAGTCCTTCAACTTGCCGATCTCTGTCATGCAGTTGTTCAACACCTGTCGAGCGCTGTTTAAATCAGTTACAGTCGGGTCGTTCGTCTGACTGACAACGTCTTTCTTTCTGTATCTCTCCTACACCCGAAAAAGTCGATTTTAAATGCAGCATACGCTCCCAGGACGAAACGCGATCCTGCCGGAATAATCATTTACGTTTTTATTTTGCGACTGGCTGGTCTCCAAGTCCTGGATGCTCTTCTTCAACTTCTGAATCTTGTCCAATAACTTCTGAGTGTTGCAGAACGTGGTTTCCGCTTGCAATTTCGCGTACTTGCATCTCCTCAGATCGCAGCCCTGCTTCTGGCTCGCGTTTAAGAATTCGTACCGGAAGTCGTCCTCCCGGGTGTCATTCGACTGCATGTACGCGTGCGCGCAACATCCTCGTTTTGATTCCTGTGAAATGAATTTCTCGTGAACGATTACGATCACCGGTTCAACGAATCGTGTAAACCGTCTTCCGTTGTTAGTCGAATGGCCGAACTAATTCCTTCCGACTTTAACACGTTCGTCGTCGCGTCACCCTGGGTTCGTCAGATCTGGGTGACGGGTATGCTTCCGTGGGGGCCCCGTCACCCAAATATGGGTGACGCTCTTCTTATTCAATTTATAGGACTTTTAGTTGGATTTTAAAAGGAATAAAATGGGATAAGCACTGAAATATAAATATAGGATATACAACTTAAAAGTACTAAAAATATTATACTATAATATTAATAATTAATATTAATAATAATAATATAATATAATAATAAATATTAATATTAAAATAATTTAATAATATTTTAAATATTAATAATATAATAATATAAATATTATACTATACATATCATACTATACTCTTTACTAGTTTATATTTAGTATAACACATTACACATTATACTATGTCGTATGGTGTGCGTTGAAACATTCTAAACACATTTCAGGTGATTTTGTCGTTTCTTGTCGATTTCTTGTCGTTCAGGTTATGTCAAGGTTAAATTTATTTAAAATTATATTTATTTAAAAGATTTATCGCTCCGTTTATATTTCGGTGCTCGAACAGTCGGATTTGAGGCCCGCGAGAAACTTAACCGAATTGCGCTGAGCGACGAACGTGTTAAGGGTTAGATCCGCGCACTTGATACCGAATAGGAAATCGACGATTAGGTTACGTGCCATCCACGATGATTGTCCTTCCTTCTTCGGCTAATTACGGCACCAACAACCCGTCCACGGAATCATTCTACTTCATTATCGGCTCCTTTCTTCCCCTCCGCGATAGTTTCATGATTAAATGCGATCAAAATTTTGCAAAACGTGTTCGTGTCGAAATTTGGGATCACGATGATCATCATCTGTCCACCGCATTTTCCGGGCGGGGCAATAGATGGAGTAAGAGAAATGGATGGTCAGTCAGAGAAATTGGTTTAGATTTACAGTTAAAATGGCTTCGAGTGCAAAGGGTTAAGATACAAAAAAATACATACAATTTGAATGAATACACTTCGTTGCGATGCGTTCGCTCTCTCAGACTTTTAACCTTTTAGGTACGGCTGAATTCTACGCGAGGCTATTTCTCTGGACGGCAGAGTCTGATATGTACTGTACAGAGCCTGATACTGTATATTCTGTCTGTATATACAGGGTGTCCGAAAAATGTCTCGCGATCCGAAAGTGGCGGATTCCTCAGGCCATTTGAGCCGTTTATTTTGAAAGTGGCATAAGTCACTTTACCGTAATGAAACGTGGTGATTTTTTAATGTTTATACGGAATTATTTATACTGAGAAAAATATCAGTATTCTGAGATAACAAATACAAGTAAATCTTCTCGAAAGTTAGCATCCATATTTTTAAACGTGTTAAAACGCAACTTATGCCACTGACTTATGCCACTTTCAAAATATACGGCTCATTTCAAGCAACTTTTTTTCTTTACAAAAATGTTCTCCGAGGCACCGTTAACGAGTTATTAACGAAAAACAGTGACCAATGAGAGGCGAGCTCAGCTGGCGCGAGACGATCGAGCCAATAAGCGGAACTGGGCTTCGTGCGCTGGTTGGCTGGGCCGCCTCGCGCCAACCGTACTCGATTCTTATTGGTCACTGTTTTTCGTTAATAACTCGTTAACGGTGCCTCGGAGAACATTTTTGTAACGGAAGAAGTTGCTTCAAATGATCCGAGGAACCCGCCATTTCTGGATTGCGAGACATTTTTGGAACACTCTGTAGACTGTTGTAAATCGATGTGAAGACAGAAGAAATGCGGAACAATGCATATGAAGACGATTATTTGATTCAAACGATGAGCAAGTGAGCTACTAGAGCAAGCCACTATAATGGCGCGTCGTTCAGAGAGATGACATCCGCGAAAGCCACTATAGTGGCGTGTCGTTCTGAAAGATGACATCCGCGAAAGCCACTATAGTGGCGCGTCGGGCCTAAAAGGTTAAGCGTGCACGTAGTTCGTTGATTGGCATCACAGATTACGCGATCAGCGCAAAACAATGACTATTTCTACGCTGACGGGTAAAACGTATCTGTGAAATCTATCCGGGCAGTGCGGTGAAAGCGGTCGATGACGGAACTCTCTAGCATCTAATCTGAATCCGATCTGAATTTGCCGGTCGAGGATCGGCTATCTGGCAGCCAGAGCGCAACTGGAGCACAATGGGACCGCTTTTCCAGGGAAAACGCGAGCACAAAGAGCCGGTGTGTCCGTGGAGCTGATCGAATCGCGTGTGGAAACGACTTTTAAACGGCTCGTTTACCATAACACCTCTCGCCCTCCACGGAATCTTGCGGGCCGGCTCGTAGACCCGCATAATTGCATTACGAGCGCAATCCGGAGAGTCCTGCGGTGCTCGCACCGACGCTTCACAATGGGAAGACGCGGGGAAAAAGTCAACGAGATTGTCGCCGCGGAAAATCGGAGTCCTCGAGCCTCGAGCTTTCTCATTCATTTGCAAAGGAGCACAGAAGCGACAAAGGTGTCGGGAATCGGTGCACGAGTTCCCGGATCCTCGAGCCTCGAAATTGGGTCATTCAAGTGCAAAGCAGGCTGCAGGTCGCTCGAATTTCCAGATTTTCGGGAGGAGAGGCATTTTTCTAAGGCATTGTTAGCGCGACACAGTTCCACGGGACTTCAAGTTGTCAATTGACGCGGAAACTCTGAGCTTTCGAGACTTTTCGAGCGGTTGATGAAATTGTACAAGGTACAGTGAAGCCTAAAATTATTTCTTTCTTCTCTTCCTTTTTTCTTTTAACGCAGTTTCAATCTCCAATGGAGATTATTTTACATAAATGGACTTAATTTACAGTAATGTTTTCGATTTATGATGCAAAAATTACGTCGACAGGTTACATTGTTTTAGGAAGGAATATAGTGGAAGGGAAAAGCCCTGTTTCCTCAATTTTTCAGTTACTTACCCTTACCAGTACCTTTGAATTTACCTTCATCAATTAAGACATTATTAGTTTCATCGGTTGCAGAAGATCCAAGCATTTCTTTAAAGTCTGTGAAAGGAATTTTTAAAGAATTCGGAGAGGAGTCATGCACATTTATCTAGGCATAGGATTTTATTTGTATTAATTTACAATGAGCGATGGTTTACCACGTTCGATAAAAATGATAAATAGACCGCGGATTTTATGCATTCATAGCAGAAATTGATAGTGTGAAACATAAAATAGTGAAAAGATTAAAAGGAAATACGAATGTTAACGTATTGACTTCAACGTATCAAAATTATTTAAGAAAGAAAAGAAGTTGCTCTCGGCTCGTATATTTTGCAATTGATACAGACAGTTTGCATCGACAGTTTCTTTTGCATAAAGATCCGCAGTCTAGCGATAAAACAGAATAAAGAAAATAAATAACAAGCAAGAGAGTAAGTGGTTATATACAAGTTTCATGGGAATAATGGAAGCAAACGATCGGTCCCATAGAGAACTGCGAGCAGTAAATCTTCATCGAACCGATTGTTGGACGGTAGGGCGAGATCCGCCCTCGAAATTGGATCATTCAATTGCAAAAGAAACGGCGCCGGCCCTCAAGCGATTTTTCAGTGTCCACGGTATTTCCCGTACCACGGATTTTTACTCGCCAACCGTAGAAACCGTCGGAGTATCGTGTCACGAATTTCCATTTGAAACGACTCTTCAGACCGCGCGTTTCACGTTCACGTTGGCCGCCGCCACGAATTCGACGCGGGAATTTCGGCGTCCGCATTCCTTTCATTCAGAAGCAACCGTTTCTCGACGAAAAAGAATAAAAATTAGAAATTTCCGGGGCCGCCTTTGTCAGCGAGCACAAAGATTAAATTTTCTATTGGTCGCGACGCTTTCTTCGGCCACCGCGCTGTTCATCCTGGACCACCCTCTTCTGCACACGATTTACATGGGCAATTTTTAGTCGGACCACCCAGTCGCGCCTGTATCCGATTGTTATGCAGCGTCGTCCGATCGTGTTTCCAAAATTCTTTCAAGTGGAAATTAAGTAAAAATAATTTCTTTTAACATTATAAAAACAATTGAATCGAAAATCCTCCGTTCGTTTAATAGATAAAAATCACTTTGTTTACCGGAAGCCTATTAACAAGCTTTTCAACGATTGAGCTTCACGCGAAAGAAGTTCAACAATTTTCTTTTAAATTATATTTCTAGAAACAGTCGTTTCGTTTTATTGACCCGAACAATTTGTTGAATTAAGGATAAGATTTGTATCGCTTTCGAACAATTCGTTCAGAAATTCTCAGCTGTTGATCTTCAATTTTGAAATGACTATTAGACAACTACAAGTACATATAGCGTAATCTTCGTGACAATCGTACGTAATTCGTCGACATTTCTCAGCAAGAAAATCAGCGCACCTTGCGTGATACATGTATTACGAAACAAGATCATTTTTAAAGAAAATGGTTCGCTACCTTTTTCGGAAAAAAAATGCCTAGAGATCGCGTTCCTCCGGATAGACACCTCAGCCTCGACTCGTTAAGTCGGGGTTAGTATCCTGTGTATACTACTCTATTCAAGGTAAGAGGCTTTCTCGTTTTCGGAAGACCATCTCCAGGTTGGGAAACGGTGAAAAAGGGAGAATACGGCGCGGGCGGGTGTAAGAGGACACCGACAAGGGTGCAACAATTACTTTATTTTGACTTTGCGGCCGGCTTTCGTTTGTTCGGATCGCACCGCATCCCTTTGTCCGGGCCGGGTCCGTGTCGGGTACGTGAAAACGCGGCAAAACGCCGCCCCGCCGCGCATTTACCTGTTTCGTACCTGTCAACTGCGACGGAAGATCACGGCGATCTCCCGTATCGCGACAAATGGTCTTAGACGGGCCCAGTCTTTGCGGCCGCGCCGAATTCTATGCCACGGCACCCGGCCAGTCGAAGCCCGGAGTCATCCACCTTGGTCTCGAAAACCCCTTGGAATCTCTGCTTCCTCCTTTCAGATCACGCAACGTTTGCAAACAGTCCGTTCCGCCGTGATTTATGGCGCGGGGGATGCTCGATGGCGGCGGGCCTTCGGCCTCGATCCTCGGCAATTCGAGAGACTGCCGAAGGGGTTGCTGGTTCATCCTCCGCTGATCCACGAACTGTGATCGGACATAAATTAATTCCTTTCGATCGACGTATTTATCCGGCCACACTGGTCGAAGCAAGTTCGTAATTTCGAGGGGAACTCGAAATTAAAGTATCGCTTTGTTACAAAAGTATCGTCGATTTTTCAACTCTTATAAGTGCGCCGCGGATTTTATGCGGTCATGGCAAAAATGTATACGCGAGATTTAAAACAATGGTAATATTAAATGAATTTAGGAACACCTATATATTATTTAGAACTCAGTGAAATGTGTGACTAACGATAAAAAGACATTTCTATTTGACTCATGTTTGTTGGAATCAATGAGGACAATTTTTATTTTGCACAAAGATCCGTAATTTACTTATAGTTTCTGTAACTTTGGTAGAGAATTTGGAGAAGTTCAAGGACGCGATAGTAGAGACTTCATTCTTTGAAGTGTGTACAGACAGGTTGTAACGTTGTAAGGTTTACACGAATTTGTAGAAGCTCGAGTCTTTATAAGATTTTTCTGAATATAAATTTTTGTTGAGACATTTCTATTTGGCTCATGTTTGTTGGAATCAATGAGGACAATTTTTACTTTGCACAAAGATCCGTAATTTACTTATAGTTTCTGTAACTTTGGTAGAAAATTTGGAGAAGTTCAAGGACGCGATAGTAGAGACTTCATTCTTTGAAGTGTGTACAGACAGGTTGTAACGTTGTAAGGTTTACACGAATTTGTAGAAGCTCGAGTCTTTATAAGATTTTTCTGAATATAAATTTTTGTTGAGACATTTCTATTTGGCTCATG